CGAATATGTGTATCATAGATAGGAGAAGGCATAGTTTCCTCATATGGTTGATCCTTTGGGACGTTGTGGCTCTCCGGCGAGGTTTTTTGCTTGTGTCCTCCTTCCAGTTTGTATTCAGTCTCCTTCTCCTTTATGATCATATCCATTGTAATCGCTTCTGCCTTTTTTTCATTAGAACACTACAAGATACATCAAAATTTGCGACAGAAAAATCTGTCGCAATTACACAAGAATATCTGTCGCAATTACAAATTTGCGACAGATTGCGACAGAATCATTTCTGTCCGTATATTGTTGTCGCAAAAGTTTGCCGGTCGTTAATCTGTCGCAAAGTTGCGACGGACAAAATCCGAGTTTTACGACAGAATTGCGACAGATTTTTCTGTCACAAATATCTTTTTTAATATTAAAAAAAACAAAAAATCTACGTTTACTACGGATTTGCGACAGAAAAATCCGTCGCAAATATTTTTTTTAATTTTTAAAAAAATATATAAAAAATATATTATACATATACACATATATACGTATATTCACATACACATATACGTATACATTACACATATACACATAAATTTATATATATATACACATACACATACATTTACATATAGACATATATATACATACACATATACACATACATAAACACACATTCATACACATATATACACACATAAATTTACATACACATACATATATATTACACATATGCACATAATTATACATATACACATAAATTTATATACATATATATATACATACACATATATTCATATACATACATTTACATACACACATATATACATATACACACACATACATAAACACACATTCATACACAAAATTTACATACACATACATATATATACACATATACATATACATTACACACATTCATACATATTCACATATACACATACACATACATATATATATATATATATATTCACATACACATCACATAAACACACATAAACATTTATATATATGCATACACATTCATATTCACATTCACATACATACACAACACACATACATAAACACACACACATACACATATACATACATAAACACATACACATTCGCATACACATATACATACACACATACACATAACATATTCACATTCACATATATATATATATATACACAACACATACATATATAAATCCATATACACGATATATATACACATACCTTGGCGAATTTTGAAGAAAAACAATTTGTTGGAGAAGATTGGAGAAGATTGAGATTTTTTTAAAAAAAATTTCGAAGTCTAGAGGAGAAAGACGAAGTCGCAGCTTTTATTAAGTGTTGCGACGCATATTGCAGTCGCAACCCATCACAAAACGAAAAATAAACCGCGAAAATTTAAAATTTTTCATCGAAAATAGCGGAAAAAAATAAAATTTAGATTTGCGACTGAAATTTCTGTCGCAAATCTGTCGCAAATCTGCAATTTTAAAATTTCTGTCGCAAATAATGTTTAGTTCTGCGACGACAACGTTTCCGTCGTATTCCGTCGCAAATTTGCGACGGATTTTGCGACTAATTGCGACGGAATAAAAATTTTCGCATTCCGTCGCAAATTCGTCGAATTCTGTCGTAATTTCTTTGCGACGGAAAAATTCCGTCGCAAATTCCGTCGCTATATCAAAATTTTCTTGTAGTGGAAGAAAAGAGGGATTCAAAGAGGGAAGGAGTTAACCGTATATTGTATTCTTTCATCATTGCGAGTAAATCCTCCTTGATATCCAATGGGAGGAGATAAAAAATGGTGTCATCCACAACACATTCCTTCTCGTCTTCTTGCTCGAAAAAAGAGTTCTTCATTTTCACACATGGCTACTATCTCCTCTATTGATAGTTTTTGCCATGCTTCAATGGATTTCCTAGAACACCAATACTCTTTGACATGGCCATATTCATCTACACAATATGTGTAATGATTTCCTCCTTCATCTTCTAAAGGACTATAATTAACATCCCAAGAGTTCCATATATTGGTTTAGTGGATTGAAAATGTTCAAAAGAATGTAAATTCCGATAAAAGTGACAAAACAAGAATGTTTCACTCGGTTTTGGATGTAAGAACCAAAATGAACTTAGAAAAATGGTTAATCATGGCTTGAATGAAAGGTCTACGAAAAATTTGAAAATAAATCATTTGTTTTTGCTTGAAAGAATGGCTAAAGAAGGGAGAAAAAAATTGAATACACGAGCAGACTCCTCTTTCTATCAGCCAAAGATAAGAGGAAATTTGCTCGGTTTAAGTAGTGGAACAAAATGAATCCGTAACAGAGGGATCCTCTAGATCTTATGCTCTGATACTGTGTACATTTTAAGAATTGAGGAGCAAAACAAAGAAGAACACGTCTAATAATCAATGATAAATAAACGAGAACATGAAAACACTCACGGTAGAATAAAAGTTTCACAAGAAAGAGTTGAAAGTCTAACTCTAAGACATCTTTTATTCATATCTAATGGTGTACATATATACTAATCAAGAAGAGTAGAAAAAGGGAGCAAGATTACAAATAATGGAAATAAAATATACTCACAACGATACATATTATAAGAGAAAACATACACCGTGAATTAGAGAATTTGTGATATATATATATATATATATATATATGTTGATCTTTCTCAAACGGTCAATGAGCTAGTATTAGTGTGACGTGACTTTAGCAATCTGTGGCCCATAATGTAATGGACATGGACATTTCCAACTCTTAGTTATGAAACATGCAACGTCGTTGCATGCTTCAATCTCTATCTTGTTCCTTTCTGTATTAAACTGTGAACTTGGTTCTATAATCTTGTCCACGCATTGGTTTGGTTGATCTAGCTCAATAATACCCTTCTTTTGCTATTTTAACTTCAACACATATCTTTCTTCATATGTGATCATATGATCTATATGACTAGAAATATAGTTCGGTCACATTTTGATCTCATTAATCATAATATTAAATTTATGGTGATCACACTAATTCATTATGTTTATCTTTTACATATCTCACTAATAATTTGATAAAAACATTATAAATTACACGTTATGACCAATATGATCAATATGTTGCCAGATTATATTTCTGATCACATGGACCATAGGGTCACAGGTGGAGAAGAGTATCTGTTGAAGTCCAAATAACAAAGGAGTGTATTTTTGATATTGCCTCGAAACTGATGCACATACAAATACACATCCTAATCAATTGGATGTATCAACAAAAACAATCTTGAATCGAAGTCAAAGCATAGAAAAATTGAGAATTTCATTACAAATAACAACTAAAGAAAAAAAACCTTTCCCCCTAAAACATGGTTAGCTATAAAAATTATTACAGGAATTCTGAGCATCAAAGGGTTTTGTTCTGAAATGAAATTCAAACTAAGCATTGAAAACCCAATATTAGTTTTTAAGAGCTTCTTCTAGGAAAATCTCAACCCAACGAGGAAAAAATCTCAACCCATCCATGAAAAGTCAAAGCCTAATCGTGAACTCTTACAATAAAATTCCTAATGCAACCCGTCAACAACTTACATCAAAGAAACAAGGCACGACAGAGTTTGAAATGAAAAACTTAGCACAGAACAACGACTCACATACAAGATGTCTCGAAGTCCACCAATCCGAGAAGAATCGACACAGAAAAACAAAGAAGGTAGAGACACCCATTTGCTCATTTTTCCAGAAAAATCAGAGAAAAGAATCGATCTAATCTAAAAGCTCATTTGTTCAGAAAGAATCGATCCCCATTTGTTACAAGGAAACAAACCATAGAATTCAAACAGACATATCTGGAGACGACGGAGATGATGAGATCCGACAAGTTTCCGGCGAAGATAAAACCCTAGTAGAAGAAGAGAATGAGTTACACATAAATCCTCATTCGAAGAAGATAATTATTTTTATGTGGGAAAATCCCAAAAAAAAACACTAAACTTTACAATTTTGACAAAAAAAACACTGAACTTTTTATTTTATCAAATAAACATTAAACTTTTTAAGTTTGACAAAATAAACACTTAACTCTTCTACGATTGTCAAAATAAACAAAATGAATGGCGTGGTCTAATGAGATACAAACACGTCAGATTATTTTACTTATTTTTTTTTTACAATCGAAAAAAGTTCATGTATTTTTTTGGATCACTAAAAAAGTTCAGTGTTTTTTTGATAATCGCAGAAAAGTTTATGTATTTTTTGAATCATTTAAAAAGTTCAGTGTTTTTTTATATTCACTTAAAAAGTTTAATATTTATTTGACAAAAAATAAAGTTCAGTGTTTTTTTTTGTCAAAATTGTAAAGTTCAGTGTTTTTTTGGGATTTTTCCTTTTTATTTTTATTTTTTTAAGGATATTTTTTATCCTTTAATTAAAAGATTGGAAAACGTTACCAGAAGTCAGATTAAAAGATTTGAATTTTTTTTAAGTATGTATGTTATTATGTGATTTCTCCTAAATATTACAAACTGTCACAAAAATTATTACAAATCAAGTACCAAATTATATTTATGAAAATTACAAATTGTCATTAAAATATCGTCGATAAAATAAAATAATTACAAATTGTCACAAAAATTATTACAAATCAAGTACCAAATTATATTTATTAAAAGTACAAATTGCCAATAAAATATCCTCGATATAATAAAATTATTACAAGTTGTTACAAAAACTATTACAAATCAAGTACCAAATGATAATTATCAAAATTACAAATTGCCATTAAGATATCCTGGATATAATAAAATTGTTACAGATCGTCATCAATATGATACCGTAATCATTTCTAGGTTGTTTTAGAGAAAATCGATCTTTATGGTTAAATCAAGATTTGAAATAATAGTGATAATAGAATAGGCATAAAAGTTGTCAACATGACAAATAGGAACGTATAAAAAATTAGAATAAAGGGGTATTAAATGTCGTCACATGTGATTGTGACACTTCCTTCTTAACCCCCCTCCCACCCCACCATGTATATACATTCACACCAACATCAAAATGATTAGCCGACACAAAAAAAAATGGCAAAAAGACTTCAAAGACAAAAGCTTTGTCTCTTCCCATTCTTCTTCCTCGCCTTCTCCTTCATTACCAAACCAAACAAGGCATACCCTCTGTCCACAAGCTCGAGATGGATCGTGGACGAGACGAGCCAGCGGGTAAAGCTCTCATGCGCGAACTGGCCGTCCCACCTCCAGCCGGTGGTGGCGGAAGGGCTGAGCAAGAAACCGGTCGAGGAAATAGCGGATAAGATAGTGGGGATGGGTTTCAACTGCGTCAGGTTAACTTGGCCTCTTGATCTGGCCACCAATTTCACGTTGGCTCACAATGTGACCGTTAGGCAATCTTTTCAAAGCCTTGGTTTATATGATGATTTCGTTGGCTTCCAAACCCACAACCCCTCCATCATTGATCTCCCCCTCATTGATGCTTTCAAGGTTTGTCCCAATTTCGTTGACTTTTCTTTCGTGGGTGCTCTTTTTCATCATTCTTTAATATCCATACATGATATTTTGCTGATAAGGTTGGATATAATCTATAGATAGCGTTTTAGGTTGGATGCATAATAGATAAGCAGATATTATAGAAATAAATCAAATTTAATTAGTAAGTAATCTTTCGAATATTTTGTCTTTTATAGCATGATCGTTTTGCTAACATGCGTGCGTACAGCTATCACCTTCACGTGTTGAAACCAATTGGAGGGGGATCAATCGAAAATATATCTAAACACTTGGAGCTGATTAGTTATGTAATGTGAAAACAAAAATTGCAAATTGGGTTTTTTTAATGGAAAGTTGAAAACATACATACATACATACAGTAAAGTTACATACATACCAACATGAAGATATCAGTTTTAGCGACTAATCATTTGAACTTAACGAAAGATTAATTTATATTATTGTAGACAGTAGTGGAGACATTGGGGAACGAGGGCGTAATGGTGGTACTAGATAACCACGTCACCAAGCCAGGGTGGTGCTGCTCCGACGACGACGGCAACGGCTTTTTCGGAGACCGGTTTTTCGATCCGACCGTTTGGATTTCCGGTCTGACCAATATGGCCTCTATCTTCAACGGTGTCTCCAATGTCGTCGGAATGAGTTTAAGGAACGAACTCAGGGGATCTAGACAGAACACTAACGACTGGTTCAAGTACGGTATCTCCACTACTTCACACGTTTCTTTCTTTATACCAATACAGAGAGAAAACTAAGTGTGGTGCCTTACATATATGCAGATATATGGAACAAGGAGCTGAAGCGGTTCACTCAGCAAACCCTAACGTTCTTGTGATTCTCTCTGGCCTACACTACGATCTCGACCTCTCCTACATCCGAGCTCAACCCGTTAACCTATCTTTCGACGGAAAACTCGTTTTCGAGCTCCATTGGTATGCTTTCAGCGACGGAGACTCATGGGCAACGAACAATCCTAACGATATCTGTGGTAAGATTTCGAACCGTGTGAATAACGCCGGCGGTTTTCTCCTGGACAAGGGGTACCCGTTGTTCTTGAGCGAGTTCGGGATAGACGAGAGGGGCGGAAACATTAACGACAATCGGTTTTTCGGGTGTTTCTTGGGATGGGCGGCCGAGAACGACATCGACTGGGCACTATGGGTGCTCAGCGGAAGCTACTATATAAGAGAAGGAGTGGCCGGAATGGTCGAGTTTTACGGTGCATTGGATGCGGATTGGAACGATGCTCGGAATTCGAGCTTCTTGCAAAGGATATCTTTGCTTCAATCCCCGCTTCAAGGTACGATCATATCTTGGAAACCCTAGGCTATTTATTATTCATCTGCAAAAAAAAATTCCGCAAGTTTACTTAGTGTTTCATTCATGGGTGGTTTATTCTTCAGGACCGGGTCCTCAAACCGGTGATTACAACCTGATTTTCCACCCCTTAACCGGACTCTGCATGGTACAATCTCAAATCAACCCAACAAAACTCGCACTCGGTCCATGTTACGAATCCGAACCATGGAGCTACACTTCTGAGAACAATCTCAAAATCCAGGGCCTGCCCTTTTGCTTACAGAACACCGGAACCGGGAAACCGGTTAAACTCGGTATCAGTTGTTGGAGTCCTGTCTCAAAGTGGCATACCATTTCAGCCTCCGAAATGCATTTAGCTTCGACTACAAGCGAGCAAATATCTCTTTGCCTCGACGTAGACGGTTCCAATAACGTCGTTATTGCTAATGATTGCAAGTGCATGGCAGAAGATAGCCGGTGCCAACCGATGAGCCAGTGGTTCAAGATCATCAAAGCCACGAGAAGATTGAAAGGACCGATCACAACTCTACCAGATTTATCGTCACCGGAATGGAGTTCCCTGTAAAGATCTTTGTCATAAGAGTACACTGATATTATTGCATGATTCTGAACTTGGAATTTTATTTGAACCTGCGACAATCCTGGACAACTGGCTCGTCGAATGAACCAGCATGAACATGATCATAAGGCAGGACTTAACTCAAGAACAGTTCAAATTCAAAGGTGAAGAATATAAGCTTCGGAGTTTACGGAAGGTTGAACAAAGAGATCAGTTCTACAAGAACGCTGGATTTCTAACTTTGGAGTGTCCTCATCCCAACCAGAGCCTTGTCCAAATCGAACAGCCTAGTTCATTCTCAACTAACCAGAACAAGAAGCAAGTGATAGGACAGCACATGGTCAAGTTGCCTTCCCGTTTGATTGCCGTTACAAATCCTCTGATTCCATACTTCGTTCGCATCGTGCTCGTCTCTAAAAGCGGCTGCGACCATTACGAACGTATTGTTCTTACCGAACCGACGAAGAGATCAAGACCGGCAGAAACAGAGTAGTGCACAGCTCCAGAGAAGTAGAAGCCTGATTACAGAGCCAAAGGAGAGAAATATAAACACAAGGATGGTTTATGTTGGGTTTAATCTTGTCGGAGTCGGGTTTTGTTTTTCTTAGTTAATTATAGTTTGGTTAGTTGCGGTCATATTTTGGTTATACACTTTGAATAAGTCTTGTGTTTAGATTTTTGGTTTCTAGTTTTAGGAGACTTAGTCTTTGGATTATTAAACCACTCTTCTACGTGTTCCATGTACGTAGGGTTTAGTTATGATTATTGTATTTCTATAAATATCAGAAAAACAAATAAATAAAGTAAGGTTTACATGGAGAAACTTCATCTTCTCTCTTATGTTTTTTTTCAGCAAAAATATAAAAGCAAATATCAGAAATTAATGTTCTGTTTATTATCATTTTTCTAAGTTTAGTTCCTACAGTTTAATCCCCGATCTCTAATATGAAAATTCCAATTAGGATAAAGGGGTCAATGCCGATGCCATCAACGTTACTCGGAGAACGATGATTTGCTCGTTCAATTTGAAAACAGACGGTCAAATTAGCAGAACCCAGATGAAAAAGGATCGAACTTTGTCTATAGTGTGGGATATCTTCAGCAAATACTCCAAATGGAGTAGAGTCTTCGAAAGACTCTGGGCGAAAGAAAAGTTCTGAAGGACGGAGGGGCAAAGTTGTCTTTTGGTTAGGTCAATAATCTGACCTAGGGTTTGCTCATTTTGGAAGAGACTTGTATTTTTCGTTCTCTCGGTTTCTCTCTCTTGCGGCGAAGAAGCGACTCTCGTTTCTCCGGCGTTCGGGGCCGCCGTTCGGCGGTTTCCGGCGTGAGTCTATGGTTGTAACCTTAGATCGAACACTTCATCTTCCCGAGACGTAGGTACCGAGCGTTAGAGCTCGGTACTGAACTCGTATCTCCTGTCTCTTTCGTTTGGTTCTCCGTTCTTGCACACGAGCGTTTGATCGGAGAGATTACGGTGAGGAACCGGCCGGCCTGAACCACTACAAGTGGTATCAGAGCTTGGTTTCGATCCGGCAGACGACAGATCGGCGGCGACACGCGGTCGAGGTAAGTTGGGGTTCCCTTCGTCTAGATCTGAACGTTCTGATGCTTGGTTCGAGTTGTTTCAGGCAAGAAACAACGTCGAGGAGACCGTCTGAGAGAAGATCGGCGGTCAAAGACGACGGGAACGGTTCAGATCGGCGGCGATAAGTTGGAAGGGGCTCGGATCTAACTCAGATCGAAGACTCGGGCGAGTTACAAGTTGACTCAGGTAAGATTTCGAGTCTATGTGTGTAGATATAGGGTTGGGTGGGGAGAACCGATGGAAAACCGGGATTTTCCGGCGAAACTCGGCCGCGACTCGTCGAGTCGCGACTGAGTCGGGAAATCGGACTGAGTCAATGACCGAGTTGACCGAGTGAACTCGGCGGCTCACGTTTCCGAAATTAGGGTTTTCGATTTAGACCGGTTTAGCCGGTTTAAATCCGATTGGGTAATTAAACTCGGTTCGATTTAAAATCGAACCGGTTTAGGTCGGTCAGGTCAAACCGTTGACCAAAATTGGTCAACAGTTGACCGGTTAGGTCAAACCGGACCGGTTCAGGTCAATTGGGCCAGTTCAGGTCCGGTTTGGGGTCAATTGGACCGGTTCAGACCGGTTTAGGTCAGTCCAGGTCCGGTTTAGGTCGATTGAGTCCGGTTTAGGTCAATCCAGGTCCGGTTTAGGACAATTGAGTCCGATTTAGGTCATTCCAGGTCCGGTTTAGGACAATTGAGTCCAGTTTAGGTCATTCCAGGTCCGGTTTAGGTCAATTGAGTCCAGTTTAGGTCAATTGAGTCTGGTTTAGGTCAATCTAGGTCCGGTTTAGGTCAATTCATACTAGTTTAGGCTGGTTTAGGTCTAATTTAGGGTCTGATTTGTTTGGTTTTGACTAATTCAAACTGGTTTAGGACAATTAAGTCCGGTAGAGGTCAATGTAGGCCGTTTAGACTTGATATAGGTCTGATTTAGGTTTGATTTATCCGGTTAGGACTAGAATTATCCGGGTTTAGATCAATTGGGTTCGGTTAAGGTAAATCTAGATCGGTATAGGCTGATATAGGTCTTATTCAAGTCTGGTTTATCGGTATAGGACTAGTATTGATCAGGTTAAGATCTGAATTCGTGTTTTAGGACCAGGTTAGATCGATTTAGGGTCTGGAGTGTACAATTAGGACTAGAACTAACTGGTTTAGGGTTAGGTTAGTCCAAATTAGGGCTGATGGTAGGGGTGGGCACGGGTCGGGTACCCGGAATTTTAGGGTAACCCGAACCCGAACCCGAATCCGAATTTTTTAAAAAAAATTACCCGAACTCGAACCCGAGTTAAACGGATACCCGAAAATCGGATACCCGAACAAATACCCGGATACCCGCGAGTACCCGAACCCAAATTTTAAAATACAAAAATTCAATAAAATGAGAATATTTAAATAAAATCTTACATAAAAACAGTCTAAATATAAAATAAAAAGATAAAAACATATAGTTGATCATAAAATATTCTTCCAAATCTTTAAACATAATTTTAATTCCATTGTCATTCTCAACTTCACTACATATTAAGCATGTGTCCTCGTTATCATCTTCTCGGACCTGTCAAGAAGAAAGAAAAAAAATAAATCGTATCATAAAACAAAAAATCAAACAATATGAAACATACACAAATAAATTTACCGTTTGTTTATCTTGTTAATCCGATTCATATCCTCTTTCAAGACTTTCACTACCCTTTGATATCGGATAATCTACAAAAACATAGAAAATTAAACAATAAATATATAAAATATTCATATACATACATAAAAATAAAACAAATCATACCTTCTTCAAATTTTACAAGGTCATCCAACGATTCTTCAAGTGATACCGGTCCATAATCCGATCGAAGCCAATCTTGAGTGTTGGTTTAGTGCTCTATGATGTACTGTTTATGAGCTTTCTTTAGATACATTCGATGTATTGATACTTTCTATGGTTTTATGAGAGTATTTGATTCATTACATGTTCTTGCATACTAGATCTGTTATGAAATCCATGTATCATTATGAATGATACTAAACTCCCTAGTCTTGTGTCATTATGGGAATGATGACATAATAAGACTAGTATGATGTGTGATTGATGATCATAGCGATGATCATAGGTATTGGAGATGATCATATAGATGATCATAGGTATTGGATACGATCACTGTCATAGGTATTCGTTGAAGAACGGAATACTGGATTGACCCGCATGAGATTGTCACATGGACTAGCGTCATGACTTGAATCTCATATGTCGGTTCCATGATTGGATCCTAAGACCTGAGATATCTACGGAATCCAACATGAGGAGTTGCGTGCTTTGAATACGTCAAACGTCCTGCGTAACAGGAGGACTATAAAGGCGTGTATCAGGTACGAAACGAATCATGTGCTGGATTGTAGATAGTCAAGACGAGATTTGTACCTCTCGTAAAAGAAAGAGATATCGCTGGGCCCCTCGTGTGAGCGAGACTGGGGGGTCATTCCTAGCGTTGCAGATCCCATTGACTTGTACTGTGACAACAATGGTGCGATCACACATGCAAAGGAACCCCGGTCACACCAGAGATCCAAACACATACTCAGGCGATTTCACTTGATTAGGGAAATCATCGACAGTGGAGACGAAAATAAGCAGAGTGTCGACAGATGATAATATTGCCGGGAATTTTGCCAGTTTGACCAACATACACACATCATCATAGGGGGGAAGTTTGTCTTGTCGCAGAATGTGGTAAATCAAGTCATGATACGACCCATCAAGTGTGAGAAGGATGGAGAAGATCTTGTCTTCCTCCAAGCGTTCACGAAATCCAGTGACATCAACAGACATCGGGCGCAGGTCTTCTAATTCCGTCCAGAGGGCAGTGAACTCCCCATGAATTAGATTAAAAGGCTTTCCATTTTGCTGCAGATTAGCCATGCGTTTCTTAATCTCAAAAACTCGGCTGAGGTTAGACAAATTACCGTAAACCTTCTGAAGGGAGTCCCAAAGAGCTTTGGCCGTTTCCGGGGCTATGAAGGACTTTAGAATGTGCTCATCAAGGGAGCTTTGCAGGATAGTAAGGGCCAGCTGATCAGCTTGACTCCATTTTTTCTTTTCAGCATTGTTGTCAGGAACAAGGGTTGTCGAATCTGCATTCTCAGCCGGAGATGATGGTGTCCACTCCGATTCGGTGATATGCAGCCATAAGCCCTTGCTCTTAAGAACAGCTTTCGCCGCTTTTGACCAATAGAAGTAATTCTCACCATGGAGAACAACCGGGATAATCTTGGCTTGAGTTTCCATGTCGTTCAAGAGAAGACACTGACACAGATAAGGAAGGCCAAGAAACAGAAACGAGAAACAGAGACAGACAAGGATCGAGACAATGACTGAATCGTCAATGCTCTGATACCATAAACAAGTTTGTTTCAAAGATTTTAGTGTCTGGGCACAAGAGAAGAAAAAGGAACGTCTTGTGCTTTCATATGTTTGATCGTCATCTACAC